TTTAAAATGCACGGGGTCAATGCTGGAGGTGAACATGGCAAAATTTGAAAGGAATGAAGCCATAAAGATAATTAGAGTAATACGTGATATATGTTAGGTGGAGTCTAGACCGACAATTCGGGTACGAGATATACTGCTTTACTTTACGAGGCGAGTCTTCTCACTATAATTACCTGAGTGGTAATTGTTGGAATAGTGTCTAAGGCTGTAACTATATTCGGTTGTGCATGGTCCTTTTGGGTTGCCTTCACCATAGCAACTTGAAGGATGATTTGTTAAGAGAGAGTAAATATTATAAGGAATAATATATGGTTATCTGATTAATATAAGTCATAGATTAATTGGTATTAATTTGGTGACTTAAAGAGATTAATTAAATAAGAGGGTATAAACTGTCAATTGTTTGATAGTTGCACTTTAGACTACAAATCCTTATCCTAGATAGGATGGACGATTTCTAGGGCTTGGATAAGCCAAAATCATCCATAGGGTTATCAAGGAAAGGATATGGATCAACTTAAAGTCTAAGTTATCCAATTAGGGTTAAAGTTGTAATCCTTAAGGAGTCTACAAGTATAAATAGACCCTAGGGGTGAGGGAATTCGACACACAACCTAAAGCAAGGAACCTCTGGCCGAATTCCTCCCCTCTCCTCTCTCCTAAATCATCTTGCTTGCTATTGGTGTTTGTAAGCCATTAGAGGAGTGACATTTGTGACTCTAGAAGCTCCAAGACAACAAGATCAACAAGGAACTCAAAGGTATGATTCTAGATCTGTTTCAATGTTGTTATTTAACCTAATTAGCTATTAGAAGTCTTGGATTCAAAGCATGTTTATTAGAAAGCCTAGATCCGAGCAATAGGGTTTTGCATGCGCACATAGGAAAGTTCTTATGGCTAAAACCCATCAGTGGTATCAGAGCCTAGCTTGGTTTTCTTTAAATTGTTGCTTGATTAACTGAAACAAACCTGCAAAATTCGATTTTTGGGTTTATGAGTCACTGACTCGGCGAGTTCCAAGGTGGACTCGGCGAGTAGGCCTGACTCGGCGAGTCCCCTTGTGTACTCGGCGAGTCCAGGCGTCAGGAATGGCCAGATTCGGGATTTTTTCATAATTATCTTATGGAAACTTACCTTAATCATATTAGATCAATCTAAATCCGATTTTTTTGATAAATATGACTATTATCTTGATCTAATTAAAGATATTTATCATCTAATAAAATATTTAATTTCCTTATATGATAATGATTAATTATTTTGATAATTATCTTGAAAGAAATCTTAGATAAATCAAATAAAGATAATTAGGATATTAATTGTTAATTGGAATTATTTGTTATTTGATCCTCCATGTTTTAAATGTTTAAAACCTACCCTAAAGTTTGAAATTTATATTTGTGATTAAAAGTTTTAATTTAGACAACTTAAATTTCGAACCCTAGATTTTAAAAGGTTTTAAAATACAACCCTATACTTATATGAATTACTAGAATAATATAATATATATATATATATATATTATATAATATATATATATATATATATATATATATATGTATAACTAAATGCTAGTCTTACCGTTAGTAGGCCTCATTCACGAAGCCGATCTATAAGGTGGGTATAAGGTTGCGGCCTATAAATGGCGCTTAATGGGTGTACACTCACACCCACCGCTTGCTTGATTGGTGGAGGGTCGTTAGCCGAACGGGTAGGATATGGCAACCTCATCCTCTCATTAAAAGTATAATAAGAAATACAAAGTAACTAAACATTTTAAAAAATTTCCCAATCTTAGTTACTTTAGGAAAAGTGAATTGATGCAATCCCATGAAATTACACTTTGCACCTTGCTAAGAAGTTAGTGGAGCGTGTGTGGTTTACCGGCACACTAATTGGTTCTAGAGAAGGTGGCAAAGGGTGATTCATTGTTTATCATAGTTCGATGGAGCGTGTGTGGTTTACCGGCACATCGAATAGGTGATCGTTACAATGAAGGCACCATGTGAATTTGCATGGTAATTCACACCCGCTTTGTGATCCTCGGCATCCCAGTCACAAACAAGAGGGGCATATCGAGATTTAAACATGCCATTGAATAGTTCAATGAATCTCATCCGAACCTAGGAATTCTCAAAAACACTTAAGACTAATAGTTTAAGTTTTGTAATGGAGAATTAGTGAATCGTCATTCACTTACCTTCAATTTATTTGCATATTGGATTACGGCATCCCTTTTCTAGTATGTAAATGTTATTGTTGGATCCTAGCCCTAATTTTTCTTATTGGGTGATAATTAGGGATTCTTGTTCTAATCTATCTTTGTCCTTTCTATAGATGTCAAACGCAAACAACGCTGCTGCTAGTTCTTTCACGTTGATGAGCCTTTGCCAAAAGGTCACCTTCGATGGAACGAACTTTAGCGAATGGATAAGATACATTCGCACCATTGCTCGCTATGAGGATAAAGAGTATGTCCTCGACGAGAAGCTCGAGAAAATCAACCCCGAAGTTGCTACTCCTGCCGAAATCACCGCCTTTGAAACTCATGAGCGAGATGCAACGAAAGTACATTGCATCATGATCGCCACCATGAACTCCGAATTCCAAAAGTCCTACGAGGACATGTATCCATACGAGATGCATCAAGACTTGTTGGAGAGGTATCACCAAAACGCGAGACAAGAGCGTTACGAGATTTTCACTAACATGATCTCCGCTAAGATGGGTCATGGAGAATCTCTTACCGTGTACCTGCAAAAGATGCAAAGGTATGTCGACCGCCTTCGCAAGTTAAATGTTGACTTCGGTGAAGACTTGGCGATCGACATGGTGCTTCACTCTTTGCCTTCGATGTACAACCAATTTAGGATGACCTACCACATGAACAAAGAGGAGGTCACCCTAAGCAAACTCCAAGGTCTCTTGAGGGTTGCTGAGAGCAATTTCAAGGACAAGTCTGTTGCACCAACTCCCAATCCACCCGCTGCTCCTGTCTTGGCTATTGGTCAAGGGAAGGGAAAGAAGAGGAAAGCTTCTTCGAATAACTATCGAAAGGTGAAAGCCCGAGATGGTTCCTCTTCTAGTGGGACCAAAGTTGATCCCTCTAAGCCCTATTCCAACCCAAAGGAGGCAGAGTGTCACCACTGCCATAAGATAGGACATTGGAAGAGAAGCTGCCCGGATTACCTACAAGCCATCAAGGAAGGAAAGATCAAGCCATCTTTCGCAGGTATATACACAATCAAATCTAACGATTCTAACCATGCTATTTCTTGGGTTCTTGATACCGGTTGCGGTTATCACATTTGTTCTAATGTGCAGGGACTAAAAAGAAGTAGGGATGTGGAGCAAGGAAGGATCAATCTAATCATGGGGAACAGAAGATCGTCGCCTGTGACCAAGATTGGAGTGTATTCTTTAGTGCTTAGGAATAGTTTAGTTTTAGATTTGAACAATTGTTGCTATTCGCCAGAAATGGCTAGAAACATCATTTCATTTCATGGTTTATATAGACAAGGATTTAGATTTTCTTTTAATAATGAGAATGGTTCTATTTTGGCTTATCTAAATGGTGTCTTTTACTTTGAAGTTATACCATGTAATGGAATATATGAAACTGTTATGATTGTTGATAACTTAGGAAATGATGTTTTGAATATTGATTCTTCCACTAGTATGGATAAATCATCCTTGTGGCATTGTCATCTTGGACATGTCAATAAGAAATGCATAGCCCAACTCCAAAAGGATAGAGTGTTGGAGTCATTCGACCTTAGGGAAGATGACACATGCGAGTCTTGTTTACTTGGAAAGATGACTAAGTCACCCTTCACGAGTACTTGTGAAAGGGGTGAGGGACTATTGGACCTAATACATACCGATGTATGTGGACCCTTTAGATCAACCACGAAGGATGGGAACCGCTTCTATGTGACTTTTACCGATGACTATAGTAGATATGGGTATATTACTTAATCAAGCAAAAGTCAGAAACTTTTGAAAAGTTCAAAGAGTTCAAGAATGAAGTGGAGAATCAATTGGGCAGGAAAATCAAGATGCTTCGATCCGATCGAGGAGGAGAGTACCTAAGTCTTGAATTCCACGATTATCTCAAGGAGTGTGGAATAGTTTCGCAATTGACGCCTCCTAGGACACCGCAGTTGAATGGTGTGGCAGAAAGGCGTAATCAAACCTTATTGGATATGGTTCGCTCTATGATGAGTCGTGCTTCACTACCTATCTTCTTTTGGGGGTATGCCTTAGAGACTGCCGCCCATATCCTTAACCGAGTCCCAACTAAGAAGGTTGCCAAAACACCTCACGAGATGTGGACAGGGAAAGCTCCCTCGTTGGCACATATCACGGATTGGGGTTGCGAGGCTTTCGTAAGACGAGATACTCACGACAAGCTTGAACCTCGAAGTGAGCGATGTATTTTCATCGGCTACCCGCAAACTTACTTTAAATATCTCTTATATAGACCAAAAGACAATGTTGTTTTTGTTGCGAGGAGAGGAGTTTTCCGAGAGCAAGAACTCATAAGCCAAGGAGACAGTGGGAGGCAAATCGAACTTGAAGAGATTCAAGAGTCGATAGATGAAGGAACCTCTACCGCTGGCATTCAACCCGAGGAGGAAAATCCGGTTGAACCGATTGACGAATCCTTACCTTTTAGACGTTCCGATAGAGTTAGAGTTCATCCCCAGTTTTATGGTTTTCATATTACTACCGAAGGGGACACGTATATTAGTGATGGTACACTAGTAAATCTTGATGAACCTAATAGCTACAAGGAAGCCATGGCAGGCCCGGAGTCTGCGAAATGGAAAGAGGCGATGGATAGCGAGATCCAATCCATGTACGATAACCAAGTTTGGAATTTGGTTGATTATGTGCCCGAACGTAAGACCGTAGGGTGCAAGTGGATCTTCAAGAAGAAGACCGACGTGGATGGGAACGTACACACATATAAGGCGCGATTGGTCGCGAAGGGCTTTACTCAAACTCCCAGAGTTGACTATGATGAGACCTTCTCACCAGTTGCGAAGATTAAATCTATTAGAGTGATGCTAGCAATTGCCGCATTTCATGATTATGAGATTTGGCAAATGGATGTCAAGACCGCTTTCCTTAACGGAAAGTTGGCTGAGGATGTTTACATGGCTCAGCCAGAGGGGTTTGTGGATCCGAAGCATCCGAATAGAGTGTGTAAGCTTGAAAAGTCCATTTATGAACTTAAGCAAGCATCTCGCAGATGGAATCTTTGCTTCGATGAGAAAGTCAAAGAGTTTGGATTTGTACGAAGCGAAGACGAATCTTGTGTATATGTCAAAGCCAGTGGGAGTATAGTAAGCTTCCTCGTTCTATATGTCGATGACATATTACTCATAGGAAACGACATCCCGACTCTGAAGGAGGTTAAGTCCTGGCTCGGGAAGTGCTTCGCTATGAAGGACCTCGGAGAGGCTTCTTACATTTTGGGAATAAGGATAGTAAGAGAAAGAAGTAAGAGACTAATTGGACTTAGTCAGAATACTTACTTAGAGAAGGTACTAAAACGTTTTAGTATGGAAAACTCAAAGAAGGGAGAATTACCGATACAAGGAAATGCCAAGTTGAGTAAGACTCAAAGTCCGAGTACCGAAGCTGAGATAGCATAAATGAGCTGAGTACCATACGCTTCCGCAGATGGCTCAATCATGAACGCTATGACTTGTACTCGCCCTAATGTAGCCTTCGCTTTGAGCATGGTTAGCAGATATCAAGGGAACCCTGGCAAAGCACATTGGATTGCAGTGAAGAACATCCTTAAGTACCTTCGGAGGACGAAAGAATGGTTCTTAGTCCTTGGAGGGAGTGATGACTTGAAGGTGCGAGGGTATAGTGACGCCAACTTTCAGACCGACAGGGACAACTACCGTTCGCAATCGGGCTGGGTCTTTACCCTAAATGGAGGAGCAGTGACTTGGAAGAGTTCCAAGCAGGAAACCGTAGCTGATTCAACGTGCAAATCAGAGTACATCGCAGCGAGCGAAGCGTCGAAGGAGGAAATATGGCTAAAGAACTTCATTGGTGATCTTGGAGTTGTACCGGCCATAAAGGAGCCCATGGAGATTTTCTGTGATAACGAAGGTGCGGTTGCCTTGACCAAGGAACCGAGGGATCATGGTAGATCTCGACATATCGACAGAAAATATCACTTCATTAGACATCGTGTAAAAGAAGGACAACTCGTAGTAAAGAGGATATCATCAGAAGATAACCCAGCAGATCCGCTTACGAAGGGACTGAGTAGGGTTAAGCACTTGCAGCATGCTAGGAGTATAGTCTTAAAACCTAGATATATGGTTTATTATTTGTTAATTGATTGTGCATTGATAATGCGAAAACGCATCAGTAACTTGATGTTATAAAACGCATTGTTGTGTATTGTTGGGTAATGAATAAGTAAATGCATATAAGTCGAAGTTTATCTGTAAATTTTATCCTAAGAGGGTAGAAGAGATATCTTGGCCACTCGATGATTTGATTTGACTTATGTGCCGGGCCCGGTCAGAACTAAATTGATGTGTTTGATTAAGTTCTATGTCGAATAAATCGGAGATCGAGAAATTTAAATGCATGACTAACCATTCCATAGGATTGTCAGCATGATATCTAACAGAGGACTATACGATCCCTTATCTAAAGGACAAGATTGATTAGATCAGAGTTGATAGCGTCTTTGAGAGCTACGATTGCAAATCGAATTGTACTTGTATAGTTACTAGACTTATCCAAGTGGGAGACTGTTGGAATAGTGTCTAAGGCTGTAACTATATTCGGTTGTGCATGGTCCTTTTGGGTTGCCTTCACCATAGGACTTGAAGGATGATTTGTTAAGAGAGAGTAAATATTATAAGGAATAATATATGGTTATCTGATTAATATAAGTCATAGATTAATTGGTATTAATTTGGTGACTTAAAGAGATTAATTAAATAAGAGGGTATAAACTGTCAATTGTTTGATAGTTGCACTTTAGACTACAAATCCTTATCCTAGATAGGATGGACGATTTCTAGGGCTTGGATAAGCCAAAATCGTCCATAGGGTTATCAAGGAAAGGATATGGATCAACTTAAAGTCTAAGTTATCCGATTAGGGTTAAAGCTGTAATCCTTAAGGAGTCTACAAGTATAAATAGACCCTAGGGGTGAGGGAATTCAACACACAACCTAAAGCAAGGAACCTCTGGCCGAATTCCTCCCCTCTCCTCTCTCCTAAATCATCTTGCTTGCTATTGGTGTTTGTAAGCCATTAGAGGAGTGACATTTGTGACTCTAGAAGCTCCAAGACAACAAGATCAACAAGGAACTCAAATGTATGATTCTAGATCTGTTTCAATGTTGTTATTTAACCTAATTAGCTATTAGAAGTCTTGGATTCAAAGCATGTTTATTAGAAAGCCTAGATCTGAGCAATAGGGTTTTGCATGCGCACATAGGAAGTTCTTATGGCTAAAACCCATCAGTAATTACTTACGAGGTGAGTCTTCTCACTATACTTACCTGAGTTTTCTCACTATTCTTTACAAAATAAGCACAATAATGAAAAAAATCTAAATTTTTTTTACCATACAACTTGTTAGTTGTTTACTCTTATGCTTTAGGGAGTAGATACACTAAGAGTCATCGACAAAGTTCTTAGCGTGCATGAAAACCACCCCTAGTATGCACTAAGGGTGTACGCTAATATGAACTTGTTGGTTCATCGGTGTGTGTATCTGTGTGTGTGTGTGAGAGAGAGAGAGACAGAGAGAGAGAAAGAGAGTAGAAGGTTTGTGACTTTTTCTTGATTGACTGACTTTGACTTTTTTTGTTGAAAAACATGTTAGTACTGTTTGCCATTATGCTATGTTTATGTGACATGTTGGTAAGGAGGGGCTTTCTCATTTGAGAGGTTATGAGTTTAAATCTTGGTTGAAACATAAGTTGTGATAGTTATGAGTAGATTAGTTTGCCGTAAAAAAAATAAAAATAAATAAATAAATAAATAAATAAAAAAAAAATTTAGCCTTATGTTTTGATGTCAATGTAAATGAATTATGCATTTTTCATTGGTGTAATGGCTTCTTTATCCCCATGGATCATAAATAGGCATCTAATGTTAAGTATGTTTCCACTATGAAGAGCTTGCATATTTGACTCTTCACTACCATGTTGCTTCACTTTACTTCTAATATGAGTCGAGACAAAACAATAGTTTGTACCCCAAATCCAATAAATAGATCACCTTTACACATTTCAAGCGAAAACTCAAGCTTTTTGTCGACCATGTTTCGAACATGAGCCATGTTGGAACATGCCGATAGAAATTGGTGCAGACAGATGCCTTTCAATAGTCATGGAGACAAACTAAAGCAGACAAGAAGTTTAGGCCACCAAATGGGGGCAATGGGTCCAATTCACCACCACCATAATGTTAAAGAAACAAAATAAGGACTTTTATGTAAATATTTAAAAGTAAAAGGGAGAAAACGGAACATTACACTAGATTTAAAAAGACACGGAGGCGAACGGGCCAATGCGTGCTACCCTGTAAATCTGTAGTTTACTCCCCCACTTCATATCCCACCATCTCTCTCATTCTCTCCCGTTCAAACAGAAAAGAAAGCACTAAACAGAGTTCGTTCTCTTCAAAGTTCCTCGTAAATGGGAGTATATTCTTTCTAGCTGAAGAAGAATATTAATATCGACGTTTTCTTCTTAAAGGTAATCCTTCGTGTAGATATTTATTAGATAATGAATGTTCGTTTATTATTTTCTCTGTGTGATTGTTTGAAAAAGAACTCTGATTCGATTGGTAGATTTGGTTACAATGTTGAGATTTTGTAATCTCCCATTCGGATAAGAAAACGAATCTGTAATTTTCCCCGTACGAATCTGTATGTTCAATATTGATGTGAATGATTTGTCTGTTCCTGACATGTTCGGATTTATAATCTACTAGAAGTTTATTTGTCTTCACATCAACGGGAAGAACAATTGGAAACGGAATTTTGTAGATGGCGGCTTCAAATCCGATGACGAACAACACAGACGGACCACGTGATTCATCGAAGCGGAGAAAGAAGAAGAAAATGCTAAAGCAATTTAGCAGCAATAGAAATCAGGTGCCGGAAAACATGAATAATAACCACGACGAGATTACGTCATGGAAATCAGAAGATCGACAGGAAGCATATAGTTCCAAACTCTTCGAAGCTCTCCGCCATCTCCGGCTGAGCTCCGGTACGTCTTCACATTCTGTTCCGCTTCGTGGACGTGCGGTTCGTGAAGCCGCTGACCGTGTCCTTGCAATGGCGGCGAAAGGGCGGAGTCGATGGAGTCGCGCGATTCTCTCAAACAAACTGAAGCATAAATTCATGAAGAGTAATCTGAGGCAAAGAGGTGCCATTGCGACGGCGACCGGTAATAGTCAGTTTAAGAAGCCGAGATTGGGTATTTTGAGGTTGAAGTCCATGAATTCTCCGGCGGTGAAACGGAAAAAACGTGATCTCGGGAGGTTAGTTCCCGGCTGCCGGAAACAGCCTTTCCCTGTTGTATTAGAAGAAGTGGCCGATTATATTGCAGCTCTTGAGATGCAAGTTAAAGCCATGGCTGCACTCGCTAGCATTTTCTCAGCCGGCTCTAGTTCTGGCCCTGGCTTTGCCACTGGAGCCGTGAATCGAAATCAGCTCAGTCTTAGCCGGCCACCACCAAGCTCGTGATATTTTTCCTCTATCCCTTTTTTTCTATTTACTACTTTTTAGAGTAAATTACACTATTGGTCCCTCATTATAGCTGATGTTTATAATTTTAGCCTTTTTTTATTGTAACGTTGGTCCCTATTTATTGTAATGTTTTTGGTCTTAGCTGATTTCTGCATATTATGTCCAAAAAAGTGTAGACATTTTCTTGGATTAGGGACCATAAAATATTTATATAAAAAAAACTTCAAAATAATGACTAGAATTGTAAAAAAATTACAAAAATTATAAAAATCAGCTATATTCATGACCAAAAATATAATTTTATTTTATTCTTATTTGTGTAATGTTTGTTCCTGCTTTTATATCAAATTTCTCTACCTTATCCAACGAAGCTATCTATTTATGATTGAATCTAAAACGATGAAATTTAAAATTGTGTTTTAATTGTAATTAGAAAGGTCAATATAAGTTTTATTTGTAATGATAGTAAGAACATATATAAATTTAGGGTACACAATTTTGAAACAAAAATGGTACTATTCTGTTGACATCTTTAGAAAAAAAATTGCTATATTCATGAAAGTTAAGAAACAGTGTCTGGAAAAAGAAATTGAATAAAATCTCTGCATTATATCAGAATTGCGTGGTAAATAGTAGATTAAAGGACAGTTTTCATCAATTATTTTAGAATAGGGGAAAACTTTATAAATATAAAAATCAACATCTTGTTGATTTTAGTATTTGTCTTTTGTTTTAAGTAATAAAAAGAAAAAAATTGTATTATAAAAATATATAATTGAAATCAACATTTCCCTATACTAACTCCAACCATCCAAACTTTTTGGAGATCGAAGTCTTTAAAGCTGCATTATTATACATATGATACAAATAAAATTGAAAGAAGATAAAAAGAAAGAGAGCCCCGAGTTCATCAACCCTCGACTTTCAACCCACATCAACCCACGCAACCCTCAACGGTCTCTCGCCCAATCCACAACCCATCTTTTACCACGTTATATACACTTAACAATCGAATAAGTATTGGGTTATTAACAACCAATTTTAATATTTAGGTAATTGACCTTTTTATTTAGTCATAGATATAACATAAGTTTTTGATCACATATAAGAGATTGTTTGGTAAGATCTAAATTTATAAGATCTGAACTTTTAATAGGTCTGAAATCCTAAAATGATTTGAATTTTTTAACATGTTTGATTGCAACCTCTAAATTGTAATATGAATTATAAAAATTATCATTTTACCCTTTTATAGTTTTATGTTGTGTTAAATGATAAATGCATACCTAATAAAAATTACAAATGATCATACAATAACCAAATTAAACATAAATTCTTCCAAATTCAATTATTTCAATCCAAGGAAACATAAACATCATACAGTATAACCAAATTAAATATAAATTCTAACAAATTCACTTCTTTGAATCCATGAAAAACATAAATTGTTGCAACAACCAAACATTCTATCAGTCTTTTATCAACAAAAAATTAATCAAAACATAATAGTAAAAATTCACATGAACTAATGATTCAATAAACAGTAAAAGTTTAACCAAAACTTTGACAAACTTAAACAAAATTTGTAGATTTGCAAATATTTGGCAATTAAAACATCTGATTGAGGCACTTTAAAACATGGTGGTGCCTTTGATCTCAGCTTCTCTGCATGGTCATGTAATGGACATAATTGCAAAGTAGTAGGTTAAGGAGTGTTTCATGCACATCATACTTTTCAATATTCATAAATCACACCATTTTTCATGATTTTTAACGGATAGCTGGAAGAAGACAACAACCAACTATTCAATATTTTTAGGGAAAAAATAAAAGAAAAAGCTTGCTTTCGACAAGATTTGAAGGAACAGAAGAACTTTTTACCTAAATGTTGTCGACGAGTTTTCACGGAAGTAGAGGGTGTCACTAGCGGAAGCTATGGTGTAACACCCAGACTCCCAGGTATATTATTTATTTATTTATTTATTAGATCTATTGAGCAACTCGACGAGTTGGCGCCTCAACTCGTCGAGTATAGACTGATTGATCACGTGGGTCTAAAAACCGACTCGTCGAGTAGGTGCTGCGAGATGACACCCTAAATCCCTGGGTTTGGGGCCTATTTAAGGAAACTTATGTCCTCATTTCCGCCTCACCAGCTGCCCAACTCCCATGTGTGAAACCCCCATCGACCATTGAGCTAAGAGAGAGTGTGTGTGAGCTAATATTGAGTGTTTTGGTGGATCTTTTGGAAGGAAATAAGTAAGATACAACCAAGGAACGAGGAGAGGCTGTGGGATCTAGCATTCTTTCACTTGGAGCTTCTGTGGAAGGTAAAAATCTTACACCTTTCTCATCTTATTAGTTGGATCTCTTGAGTATGGAAGTTAGGGCTTTTTACCACCTTTTTGTTGGGACAATGAGTGCATGGAGTCTATTAGGAGGTCTAGACTTTAGATCTGGACCTTATAAGGTCCAGAGAGTCCAAAGGTTCCAACTTTATTTAACCATATAAGAGGTATTGTGCTTAAACACCATTGTTAGAGTTGTATTGGCATTTTGAAGCAAACTATACCATGCATGAATGTAAAGATCAAAACTTTACGTGACAATTGATCCTTGGAAGCCAAGATCTAGGGTTTGGAGTGGTAGATCTGACTTAAAATGTCTGAATTAGAAACTGACTTAAGCAACTCGCTGAGTCAATGAGTTGACTCGACAAGTCGGCTACGGTTTTCCCCGAAGAGTCTGGACATGGGTAACTTGGCGAGTTGACGAGACAAATCGACAAGTTAAATTTTATATCCGTGATATTTCAGAAGAAACAAGGGGACTCGACAAGTCACATAGATGCACTCGGCGGGTCAGGTTAACATGGACTGTTGACTTGAGTGTTGACTTTGATTGACCTTAGGGTTTCGTCAAGTAAGGGATTATGAGGACAATGGAGGGGTAAAATGGTCTTTTACCCATTCCAAGAGTTAAAGAGAGAGAAAATAACCCTTTGTTTATTCAGAGTTGTGAATAGAGTGTTAACTAGAGTTAATTTTCGTATGTGTTAGGCGGAGGCTAGTTCGAGATTCGTGTACGAGGTTATTACTGTTGGATTAGTGTCTAAGTCCATAACTATTTTGGTATGTACTTGACCCGATGGTGCATGGTCCTTTTGGGTTGCCTTCACCAAAGCAACTTGATAGGATGAATTATGGAGAGAAATGATTAAATATGATTTATTAATATATTATGAGAATAATATATTAAAGGAGAAATCATATTGTTTAATTAATATTAGTCAAAAATTAATAAGAATTAAGTTTGTGGCTAAAAGAGATTAATTAAACTTAAGGGACTGGAATTGTAATTATAAGATAATTGCAATTGGGCTATGGATTACCTTATTATATAAGGTTGGACGAATTCTATGGGGAAACCCATTAGAAATCGTCCAAGGCCTTTAAGAAAGGAGTTCATTGGTTGCTTAGGGCCTAAGCATCCAAATTAAGGTTTCCTTGTTAGATAACCCTAATAGCCTCACTATTTAAAGGACCCTTAAGCCCCAAAAACGTGGTGAACTAATTGGTTAGGGTTTCCACACGTTTTGGGCAGTCTCCTTCTCTTCTCCTCTTCATCCTCTTGCTCTTGGTGTTTGTGAACCATTAGAGGAGTGACATTTGTGACTCTAAGCTTTCTAAAATCAATACAAGAAGGATTTTAGATTGTTATTGCTACATAACAATCAAGGTATGATCTAAACCCTAATTCATATGTTATATTAATTATCATATACTAGATCTAGGGTTTATAGTCTTGGATAAATTGCATGTACAATAGAGAAACCTAGATCCAAGCATTAGGGTTTGTATGAGCACATAGGATGTTCTTATGGCTAAAACCCATCAGTGGTATCAGAGCCTAGATTGGTTTCTATTGTATTGATGCCTTGTATGTTTGTTCAAGCTGAAAATCGATTTTTTGGCCTCTGCCCGACCTGACTCGGCGAGTCAATAGATGAACTCGGCGAGTCTGTCTGACTCGGCAAGTCCAGTCCCTGACTCGGTGAGTCCAAGGGTCAGACAGAGGGAATATTGGGATTTCTTGCTGTTTTGCTGAAGAATTAATACCAAAAACGTATTTTTATGATAAAATCCGATTTTTATTATATTTGGGTGATTATCCTTCATAAAACAAAAGATAATTTCAAATCTTTTGAATAATACTTTCCTTATATGATAAATATGGATTATTTAATTTATTTGGTAATTATCTTATGAGATTAGGTCAAATATAGATAATGATGAAATTAATTGTTTAATTCATATTATTTGTTATTTGATCCTTGTGTTACGAAAAGTTTCAATTTTTTCCCTTTAGGTTTTATAGTTTAAATTTGAACTCAAAAGTTTTTTGTTTTGAAATTTAAATAGTTGAAACCCAAATGTTTTGAAAAGGTTTCAAAACATGCCCTCAAGTTTTGGAATTTAAATTTGATTAAAAGGTTTGATTTTGAAATATTTAAATTCTAAACCCTAATGTTTTGAAATGTTTCAAAACTTGCCCTTAAGTATTGGAATTTAAAAGTTGATTAAAAGTTTAATTTAGGAATGTTAAATTCTAAAACCCTAGTATTGTTTTGAAAAGTTCAAATCACACCCTTATGGTTTTATTAATTAATTAAAGTGTATAATTAAAAGAGATTTAGTAAATCCATAAAGTTTTGGTGTACAATTTAACTAAATTAAAAGTGCAATTTATTAAATTAGACTACCTAGTATTTTAAAAGTGTAAAATACACCCTATACTATATATATAACATTAAAAGTCTAACATTATATATATATATATATATATATATATATATATATATATATATATATATGAGTAAAAGTCAGTCTTACCTTTAGTAGGCCTTATTCACGAAGTTGGTCTATAAGGGGTGTTTAAGGAAATTGCCTATAAAATGGCGATTGAATGGGTATCCACTCTTACCCACCGCACTCTTGATTAGTGGAGGGTCGTTAGCTGAACGGGTAGGATAGGACAAAACCTTCCATTATAAGTATAGTGAAGTACAAAAGTAACCAAATGTTTTACGAATTCCTAATCTTAGTTACTTTAGGCAAAAGTGAATTGATGCAATTCCATGAAATTACACTTTGTGTCGTTGCGAAGACGTTAGTGGAACGTGTGTGGTTTACCGACACACTAAATGGTTCTAAGCAAAGGTAGCAAAGGGTGACTCAATGTTTGTCATAGTTCGGTGGAGCGTGTGTGGTTTACCGGCACATCGAATAGGTGACTGTAACATGCGAGGGCACCATGTAAGTTTGCATGGTTATTCACACCCGCTTTGTGATCCTCGGCA